TATTAATTTCTCTTTTTCTCTCTCTAGATCTCTCATCTCTTTCTCTCTAAAGTTCTTGTGTTTTTTATTTATTAAGTGTACGTGTGTGAATTCGATCCTAATAACTTATCCTTTTCAAATCTTCTTTGTCTACATATTGATAAAAAAATATTTTCTCCTATTTAATTTATGTGGTAGTATTGTTTTTCTTACTGGTATATTGATATTGCTGGTAAGTATTAGTTCTTTTTTTTAAGAATTTATATTCTGTCTTAATTTTTAAAGTGTACTTTTTTTTAAAAAAAGAAAAAAATTAAAATAATTTTTAATTTCAACTTTTGATATTTTAAAGTTATATAAGATTAAATTTAAAATCGAAACGACTGTTTCATCTATAGATATGACAAGACAATCATTTCAGCTACAGAGCTAGAGTTACCAAATCTAAGTGGTAGTCTGATACCATCTAGGGATTGCAGATGGAACGAACAAGAAGATCTTATAAGTTTTTAACTAAAGATTTTTAAACATATTCGATTCCAACACAAATATTGTTATATAAATTAATCATTGAATACTAATTATAATTAAAATACCTACCCGCTGTAAAGTCACTTCTAGCACACTAACCATTTAACAAAAGATTCAATAAGATATGAGAGCAGAGAAAGGAGATGAGAATAGCGTTTCGACATAATTATGTAATCCTTATTCTAATTTCTAGTCCTTTTTTTTAACAAATGGTTATTAGATGTGAATTTCAGATAACAGTCTTTAATAACTTATAAACCCTTATAGAGTCAATTTGATTGACAGTAGACTTTCAATTAAAAATTTTAAATTACATCACCATCTAGATTATATTTTTTTTTATATATTTAGTTAAGATATATAATCTCTGAATAAAATCAACTTCAGACAAAAATTATATGAATGAAGTTGGATCGCTTTTATCAACATAGTTAAAATTAAATTATTTTTTTTATACAGTACAAAATTACTTAACTTCAATCACATTAAACTTTATTCAGATTAGCTTTTGACATCAATACATGATATCTTGAGATTGATAGAGGTGCAAAATTTTTATAACGCAGGACCCAAGTTAAATGATAACGTTAAAATTAGATAGTCATACACTTGTTGAAAATGATTAAATCTTTTTTATAAGAACATGTTATTTCATAATTGCAGGTATCATGAAATGTAAATTTGAATAAAAAAACTTTAACTATTAAAAGAAGAAGTTGCATTACTTTTTTTTCCTCATTACACATTATATATTTTTATTTTATCGAAAAGTTCCATAACGAAATGTAAAATATTTTTTTGACCATTGTAATTTCATATTAGTATAAATTCAAACATACATAATTATTGATTAAAACAAAAAATTACTTAACACTCCATCACAATCTCGATAATACTAGCACGTAGCCTAAAAGATCTCATCAATCGTCATGATGATTAACAAAAGTAGAGTTGGAGAAGCTATACTTGTCTCTGTCACTAGAAGATCTGCTTCTTTCCTCAATCCAAGTTTCAGATAAAATATATTCTTTTCTTTTTAACATAACAAATAGAGAAGTGATTGCTTTGGATGTTGGTGTATCCTGTCCTATTTGCAGCTAGCAATAGCAGTAACAGTCAAAAATATTTTCTTGCCTTTAAATGGAAAATATAAGTCTTTGCAATAAATGGTTTATTTTCTAATCTTTTTTTTTTTTTTGCTTCTTAATTACAAGTACTAATGGGTAAGCTGCAGAGTATAATGATGATGATGATTCTGAAATTAAACCTTTCTTCCTAGTGCTTTCCGCTCCCTGTCACTAGACACACCTTCTTGCAGTAACACTTATTATATAGTCACTTTTTCGAGATGATTCAAATAAATATATTTTTAATTATAAATTTTTATATAATTGATAAATATATAAATTATATTTCAAAGTAAATTTAAAGATCTTTTGTGTAAATTTTTTATCAAACTTATGATCTTTGAGTATTGAGAAATGAAATATATCACATAAATTGAGAAGACAGAGTATATATCACACATTTTGTTTTAATTTATTTGTCTTATGTTAAGTAAGTGTTTGGTCGTGTGACATCATATCACGATATGATATCGTGAGATGGAATTAGTGTTTGGACATGTGATTTTACGCTGATTCCATCTCATGATATGGTATCGTGAGATGTGACACCATATTCTCCAAAACCACGATATGGAATCATATGGGAATGCCATATAATGATTTGAGTTATTTTAATAGAAAAATTGATCCTCAAATTTATATTTTATTAAAACAACCTCATATTTATATCTACTAACCATTTATTTCACATGTAAATAAAATTTATAATCACATCATTATTTCTTAAAATTTATTATTCCCACCAACATAAAATTTATTATTCTCACAAACATATAATTGCTTTAACTCACTCTTCACGACTGTTGAGCAATAAAATCCCGTGAAAGGTGTTTCATTTTTACTCAAATATATTAATGAAACAATTACTTAAGTGGAGTACAAATAACTTTATAATAATTTGTTATATGAGTTTATGATTTTTTCTTTATTTGATAATATTGAATAAACAATTGGGCTATTTTAATTGTTTTATAACTTATGAGATTTTTATGTTTATGAGAAAATATACAACACCAAAATTTCATATCGTACTTATCATGATTCCACATTATGATACCATATCGCATGGTCAAACGAGCCCTAAGCTAGAACAATTTTTTTTTATATATAAAAAAGTCTTAAATTAAAAATAGGTAGAAATAAATTGTTCCTGATTATGGTTAAAAGTCAAATTGAATCGTAATTCGGATCAAAGCGATTTAAAAACAGATATTTGGTTTGGTTAGATTAGATTTGATTTTAAATTTTGTAAATCCATGTTATTTGGTTTTATTCGTAATGAAATGAAAATATTTTGTTTAACTTTAATTAACTTTAGTTTTTAATTTTACCAATTTCTCAAGCCGTTAGATTTTAACCTAGCTATAACAATCCCAAGTCTAACTCTATCAAAATCAATTATTTTAGTCTTCACCTGCCCTATCTCACATAAGGTAGTCACACTTTTGCTTAATTGAATCACTTTGTTCGTGTAATAATAACTTTAGTATTGTTTAATTGAAACCACAATAGTTTTCATGTGCATTGTTCATATAGTAGGTGCCAATGCCTATTGAGAACGTACGTCCTTAAAAAATTATTAATTTCAAACCAAAAAATATCTAATCAAACCGAACCAAATTAACAATAATCAAATCAATATTTGTTTTTTTTCATTTGATTTGCTTTGTTTCAGTAATTTAAAAATCAACTGAATTAATTAAAATTTTGTTTTAAACTAATAACCGATTCAAATCAAATCACAAACATTTAGGTAGAAAGTATCAATTTTAAAAAAATAATTTGTATGTTTTACGGAAATTCTGGATTAAATAATTGTTAAAACAATTTTATTTTTTTTTGAAAAAAAATGAATTAAAACAAATTTAAAGTAACAGAGTAGCATCTTTATTTAATCCAGGCAATGTTCATCATTTTCCAAATACTTAAATGAAATAAAGTGTGATTACTTATCCTGGCCTTTCTGATCTGCTTAACTTTTTATGGAGAAGTTGAATTTTCTGTAGAGTGATCATTACACAGAATAGCTATTGTTAGTAGCCCAAATTTTGCTTGAAGAATTTTTTATTTTACCCAAAAACTGCCAGATATTAGTTAATTATTATATGTTCAAAGGAAAGTTCAATATTATTTATAATCTAAGGGTGTGATTTACTTATTTTTTCATGTTTAGTTGGTGACTAAAAACTATTTTTAGTGTTTGATTTATGAATGATAAATATTTTTGAGAAACTAACTTTTATTTTTACTAGAGATTTTTGAATTGAAATTAAAAATATTTTTTAAAAATAAACTTTAAAAAATTTTCTTTGGAGAGGATGGTGTGGTGGGGACTTTTCTCTACATCAATCTCATAAAGATATATCAAAAGAGTAGTATTAATTTACCATACATATTAGTAAACATCATCAATTAACAAGGACTACATCACACGATATAGCATAAAAATCACATGAAAACCTATACAATTACTAACACCCTCATTCCCTTCGACCCTTTAAATTAATGTTAAGAAACACTTCCACATATCATCTCAGGACACAGACAAAAGTTTGTATAAACACATCATACATCTCATCTCACCTTTGTATTATAGTCTCTCGTTTGCGTGCGCACACTAAAATGCCTTTTGTTTGTCTAACAATAATGACATGCATCAATTCGACTCTCTGAATATATATTATTTCTCGTTAGGAATCGCACCGCACCTTAGATACGAGGTATTCATCAACAAAATATTGTAACTAATTTTTACCCTTCTCTGACATTAATATAATGATCAACTCACCATCAATTATAGGCAAAAATATTCATTACCCCCTGAATTTGAAGCTTTTTATTCGGTGTACACTTAAATTTTATTTTATTTGAATTACCCTCGGATTTGTTTATTCATCCAACGCGTGCACCTTTTCATTCCACCTGGCATAGAAATTGAAATCACACTCTACTAGACGCGTGAGAAAGTGATTTTTTGCCACGTCATAAAGTTACAATAGTAAAAAATGTAAAATCTCTATTTTTTTTAATATTGACCGACTCATCGTCGTCATCATCAATATCGAAGCCCAAGGGCCATTTCTTCGGGTAGTAGAGTAGTTTCTCATCGTTGAAACTGGATAAGGATTCCGATTTAAGAAAATAGGTAAATAATACATAAAAGAATCAGATTAGTCAATTAGTTTCTTACTAAAAAAGTCAGATTTCTTCCATGTTAAAAAAAATAATATGAACCACTCTCTGCTCCCCTCTGCCTTCAGTTTTCCATTTAATACCTCAAATTCCAAATGCCAAAACTCAATAGTAGATACAGAAAGAAGATGAAAAGGAGTGGAGAAACTAATTAGTAGTAAATCGTTTCATAGAGAATTTCTCTGTCTAAATACATAGGAATATGAATAGAAAAATGAATCAAGAAAAAGAAAAGAAACTGCCGCACTCAACAAGCTAAAAAAATTGCTATGACCTAACAGCCTGAAAATGTGTAATAGTCTTGATTACAAAACGATGGATATTAGGCAGCTGTCATCTCTGAGTTTTGTATTTCTACTAGGTGTTTACAAGAGATGCATAGTTGCGCATGACCAAGCTAAGAGGAAAATCACCACACTTAAATACACTTTGCCTGCACAATTCCATTCAAGCTATTACATATTTAACTGCTAGAAATACTGGAGCCTATATGGTCACCTTCTGGTGTTTCCAGGGCAGCAACTGCAGGGCTGCTACTTGCGGAGACTATATTTTCATCTTCTGTTGTTGCTGTAGCAACAACTGCAGGGCTGCTACTTTCCGAGACTATACTGTTACCTTCTGTTGTTTCCCCTGCAGGGCTGCTACTTGCAGAGTCTCTCTCTGCAATGGATCCACTGTCCTGCTTGACCAAATCAGCATCGGCCACAATGGTTGTGGATGCCATATTCAGTAAACTAGAGGTGCCATCAGCTAGTGGCTTAGGCCCATTCAGGGCATTGCAGTGAGGGCAATAGTAGGTTATATAGGGGAGTTCTTCTTTCCTAGCAAGTCCTGCAAACAATGGAAGAAGTTAATAAGTTCACTTTCTTTATTTTTCTGTTCTCTTATATTGATGATTAGTTAGTTATTCACTATCTATTAGGTGAATCCTATGCTGCTAATTATGGGCCAATGATCATATTCTCGAGTCTTACCATTGTGCATATGACAGTTGCTGCAGATAAGAGCATAAGATTGGGTTGGATCCTCTCCCACAAGCAATGCTGCAATTCGTGCAAGCCATCCCCCATCTTGTGTACTCACAGAGGTAGGATTGTAATGCTCAACAATCATTTGCTGATGTTGGTTCATAATAGAACCTTCAAGCTGGAGATCATGAAGCATTTCTCCTTCGCGATGATCCAAAACAGCACTCCCTGCGCTTCCAGATCTAGCTTGCTTCCTATTTCTCAGTCCAGCAGACTGCTGAATTGCTACATCATTGCTCGTTCCGGCAGGGACATTAAACTTAGATTCATCTCCCAGATAAACTTTTAAGCCAGTATCTGCACCGAGCTTGGATGCAAGCACAGTGGCTGCAGCTGCCTTAGATGCTGGGTCAGGGTCATATCTCTGCATAAATGATAGAACAATAAAACATCATCCATCTCATCCCACCACTCGGAAATGAAGGTGCTTTTTATAAAAGTGGTGAACACTAAAGAGTGAAAAATAATTGTAAGCACGTGTCCCCAAATGTTTCTTGCACTTGCATGGTTAACTTATCTGTAAAGAGCTTAGCATAAGCCCAAAAACTCACGTATTTCTATCAGCTGAATGAGCTGCCTAATTCAACAGAATGACAAAATATCTGTGAAGTGACAAATTATCTGTTAAGAGCACAGCAGAACCCCTAAAACTCGCATATTGCTATCACCTGAATGAGCTGCTGCGTTATATAGAAATTTGTCTTCTCTTTGAGTTCATCAATCTTGGCTTGCCTTTCAGCTCGAAGCCTTTCCAAAGTTTTCTGATCCCTTTGTTCTTCTACAGGATTCAAAATTGAAAATCAAAGAAAAGATTGTTTGTTGTAAGGCAAAACTATCAACAGTGTGATTATTAAAAAATTTCAGAAACAATATTGTTAATGGATATCATTTGAGATGATCAAAAGAACTATGTTGAAGACCATTGACCTTCACATGCTATGGAGTCTTTACATATTCATCTGATAGCCAAAACGAAGTTACTCTTTAACATTTCAATCTACACATCCTCAAGAGAAACACGGAAAGGAGAAAGGCCACTGGGCACACTGTCTAGTGATATATAAATTTGCCAAAATAGGAGGTAAGTGAAGCTTTTCAGAGGCTTTACTCTTGTGCTATAAAAAATACATAATTTAATACACAGCAAAAAATGTTCATGAGACTAGAATAAAATGAGAGCATCCCCTCCATGCTCCAGAGGAGAAGTTGAACATGAAGATCCATCTAAATTTATCACGGATCCTCTCAACCAGGAAATATACTTCGAACCAAATACACCAGATCCAAAATTACTTATCAGTAAAAATGCACCAGATTCGAACTTGTTACAGCACACAAGCTCCAAGTTTTCCATGTTTATATTCTATTTTTTAGCCGAAAGGTGGATGTCCAGGGGTATTATAGGGCTAATAGGTGGATGAAGTATAATTTTATACCAATTCAAATACTTGATGGGCACACCCAAGATGTTGAAAAGTTGACCATTTGCATTTGCCAGCTCAGAATAAAATTATTATGGAAATAAACTTTTTTAGTTTCCAACTTTAAAATTGAATTTTAGGATTTTAACTACATCGATTTAGGTAAGTAAATAAATATTACAGAAGAAATCAGATTATGCAATTAGTTTGTTAATAAATTTATTCAAATCACGTGAAATAAACTTCTGACTATTTAATTATATGGTTCTATCTGTCACCTATATATAAATATATTAGTCAAATACTCATATTTTATATCCAGAGAGAACTAATCATTCATATACTCTTCATTTTGGTGTACTTAAATATGACAAAAGGGGGGCTTAGGAGCACTAGAAATCTCAATCCGAAAATGAAAAAGGCCATTCTCGATAAAAGATTAGAATCATAGTGTAAGAAAGCAAAAGGGATGTCTATTCTATTTGATATAGAAACTGGTCTAATGTTTTCTACTCACAGAGAAAACATTGTGTTTGCTTGGCCCTCACTAATTCAGGCTAACGATAGAGTTAAGGACTATTTGTCTTGCTCTAAAAATTGAAGGCTAATTAAGTTTGTTAACAAAGCAGAGCAAATGGCTGAGGAGAAGGAAATGGAGTTCCTCTTTAACCAACTTGTTAAAGGAAGACTAAGAGTTGATGAACTTGATCTTAGAGAAACTAAAGGTTTGTCAAAACTATTTGCTGTGAAGAGGAAGAAAAAAACAACTGAAGGAAACTGCTGGAAACACAGAGTTGGTTCTGATGACAACAATGAAGGAGAAGAGAATGTTTGATATCTTTAGGATTTTTGTTGAGCATGCGACACTTTTTAATTTTTCTATCTTTATTTTGTCTTCTTGTCTTTTAATAACATTTCCCTAGTTAAGAATTTGTTTCTTGTTGTTCATCTTTTTATGTATTGTTGTCATTTTAATGATATATGATGGATATTTTATTTATGTTCATCAGACCTAATTATATGTATCATTTTACTTTTCATAAGCAAAACCTAATTCTATGCGGTCAGTGAAGTGTAAGTGTAATGAGGTCTCAGGTTCAAATCCTAACAAAGAAAAGAACACTATGACTTCTTCTCGTATGACCAAACTTTGGTGGATAGTGGAGCCAGCAACTTCACTTCTATGTTAAAAAATCATGAACCACTCTCTTCTCCCTTCTGCCTTCAATTTTCCATTTCAATACCTCAAATTCCAAATGCCAAAACTCTATAGTACATACAGAAAGAAGATGAAAAGGAATGGAGAAACTAATTAGTAAATCGTTTCATAAGAAATCACCTGTCAAGTACACAGGAGAATGAATAGACAAATGAATCAAGAAAAAGAAAAGAAATTGCTGGACAGCAACCCGGAAAAATTGCTAGGACCAAACAGCCTGGAAGTGTGTAATAGTCTTGATTACAGAACAATGGATATTAGGCAGCTAGGGAAGATGCCATCTCTGAGTTTTGTATTTCTACTAGGTGTTTACAAGAGATGCATAGTTATGCATGACCAAGCTAAGAAGGAAATCACCACACTTCAACGGTCTTAATATTCACAAATTACAGAAACAATGTTTTCAATGAATATCATTTGAGGTGATCAAAAGAACTATTTTAAAGACCTTTGACCTTCATATGCTCTGAAGTCTTTACATATTCACCTGATTGCCAAAACAAAAATACTCTTAACATTTCGATCTACACCTCCTCAAGAAAAAAACAGAAAGGAGAAAATCTCAATGTTGAGGACTTAATATGTTATTGGAATTTTACTATAAGCAAGGTTTGTCCAAATGATCTACAACCTTTTCACTTCTAAGTTTCCTGAGAAGAAAATGCAAATTAGACTTATCATCTTCCATTGTCACTAACTTTTAGTAAAAAGTCCATGGTCACCTTTCTATCTTCTCATGCCCTCTGACCACCACTTCCAAATAAGTCGCATCAAGCTTTTATGGTCTTCCCACCATAAATTAGCCATAGGGTCTATTTGATCAAATGGACATCCAATCGAACACTTTTTCCATTAGGCCAATCGTTTTGATTCATTACCTTATTAGGATTGGTAAGGTAACAGCTCGCACCACCCTAATAGAAGGCCGCTAGATGCTGTCTAGTTGTATAAATTTGCCAAAATAGGAGGTAAAGTGAAGTTCTTCAGAGGCTCTCCACCCTTGTACTATCAAAAGATGACATACTTAATACACAGCAAAAAACGTCCATGAGCTACACAGAGCTTACCAAAATTTACAAACTAGAATAAAATGAGAGTATCTTCTCTGTGCTCCAAAGGAGAAGGTGAACATGAAGATCCAATCTAAATTTATTACGGATCCTCTCAACCAAGTAATATCCTTTGAACCAAATACACCAGATCCTAAATTACTTATCAAAAAAATGCACCCCATTCGAACTTGTTACAGCACGCAAGCTCTACTTTTCCATGTTTATACTCTATAATAGGAAACTTTTGAGTAATTGCGAATTGAGACACCCTTTAACATATAACTTCAATGATTCTCGACCTTCGAACTTCTTAAATGCAAAATCATGAAGAAATGTTTTACTTTATCTTTAATATACAACATGAGCTTATAAATTTTAGGAAATGCCAAAATAGAAATTTTAATGCATTTAACAAAGTAAACTATTGTCTTTATGAATTAATTATTTCTTTTTTTACTTATTTGCTAATATATATTTTCTACTACAAATAATCACTCCCAACAGTATTAATCAAACACCTTCAGTAGGTGAAACCAATCAAGGGTTTCTTGATAAGTTAAAACAATACACAGCTTGATAGACATATTTCATCAATCTTTCTGGTACAAGCAACAGCTGAGAGAGAGAGAGACAGACAGAAAGATTTAAAAGGTGACAGTGAGTAATCTCAATCCATCAAACAAACTGAGCAACATTATCTTATTCAAAAGAGCAGCAAAACATAAAAACGTCTTTTCGCCAACTATCTAAAGCTTACTAGAAGCTACCTAATGAAGAGTTCAACCACCTACGACTGAACATATATGTTTCTGCTTAGGCAGTTGACTTTACAAAATATGATTTCAAAAACTCACCAGCCTTCTTTGTCACTCTACTTGGTGAAATCCACTGTCATGTATCTAAGCAGTCAATCGACCTTAGTTTTATCATTTATTTAGTTTTATCATTTATTACATCAACTCATACTGGCATAAATAACAAAAAGATGCTCTTCCCTAGGTTAAAGCACCCAAAAATTCTAAAGTCAACTTGAAAAGAGATCGACAGAGATTGAGAAATAAGCTGTGAACTGAAGAACACCACTACTCACATTACTTCTCAGTTACCTACTAACTTTTCCCACTAAAATCCAATCCTGGTTCACTATCAGCATCAGAAAGAAATGAGAAAGGAACAATTTATATCTTCTAATTTGATGAAGGTTTGTCGCACTGAAAAAGAAAAAGCAGAAATGGGAGGAACTGCCATAGAATTTGAAATATTGTTACGTTTGAGAACTTTAGTAGCAGAGAACCATGAACAACTTACTCATTCTCGTGAAGCTTCTAAGCGTCGAATATGTAAAAAAGGATAATCCGGGCAAAAGAAACATCGGTAAAACCCGCAATGCTCTCATTTTCCAGTTTAGCTCAAGTGATCTTGTTGTCATAATAGCATAAGCCATTGCAATAACCTGAATTGAAATAAACTCAATACACACATAAGTAATATGCACTATAACATACAGAAAAGGGATAAGAAAATTCGAGAAGGATGACATACATATAACATTAACACATTGATCGCAACATGATAAATGTGTTTATATGTGACATCTGCAATTTCAATATACTTTACATACTTAAAGTATTGTTATAGACTCAGGCATGGTTAACAGCACAACCTGCATACTCAGGTGTCGCTTAAATGTGTGCACGAAGGCTACTGCGTGCAACAAGGCACTACAGTGTGCACCTCATAGCTCATAAGCTCTGTTTTGAGGAGGGCTTCAGTATTCAGTAAAAACACTTAACAAAATAATATTAATTGTAAAAGCAACATAACAAACTCATATGCTAGAAACTAGGAATACAAATTTATAAATATTATATTGGAAATGAATAATCAAATCCGAATAAGAAATTTAAACGTGCTAAATTTTAATCGACTTCTCCACATGAGTAGGATGTTATTTATTTCATGTATGCCACTTAATTGTAGTTTTCTCTAACTCATTGTCCATAAAATTGTTATTTGTATTTACGATTATTTTTTCTTGCATACATATACTTTATTTTCCTTCATTTGCGCCTTTAAATTGTTATTTGTACTTATTATTATTTTTCAATTTTCCTTGCATACATATATTTTATTTTTCCTTCATTTGTGCCTTTCATCGTTGAAGATTAACTTTTAATTGCACTTCCATCAAATGTTCTAGTTGACCATGACGCTTTTTGCTTTGATAGAATTAGAATAAGAATAAGAATAAAATAGTAATAGAATCCTATTTGGGCAAGGATTGTAATGTAGTGCTTATAAATAGGACTCAATGTAATAATGTAGATATAAAAATTTAATAATATTTCTTTATATTTCTCACATAGTATCAACACTTCGGTTAGAAATATTGGGGGAAAGATAACAAAGTCACAGTCACCGTGCCTCAATTTTCTAAGGACTGTTGTACGTCATCTTCTTCTTTCGGTGGTGTACAGGTCCCTAACCTCTCGCAACCATAACCACAAAATTCCACCACTAGATAACCTTCCATATGACCTCATACGCCGTCAAAAAGCAGCCTCTCTGGCGAGATCTACACCACACCTCAGCCACGTGAGCCTCTGTTACAAATGCGTTGAAAGTTATTAATTTAAGTATTTAATTATTTATTTAGTAGTTTTATTTATTATTTTAGAATAGGGTTTGTATTTCATAGTTTTACAAGGATTAGATAATGTTATAGTTATTAGTTTGGAATAGGATTTAGGTCTCCTACTTTCATAAGAATTAGATTTCCTATTGATGTAATAAGACTCCTATTTAAGGGGGGGGGGGGGTTTGGATGAATAAATCAGTAAGTCATAATTCAACAAAAATCAAGAGATCAGAGTTCTCTTCTAATGAATTCTAAGGTTTCAGTCTCCCTTTAACGAGCTGATTTATATATCGCCCTGTGAATCGGTCCTTCCCTAAAGATTCATAACACTTTGGTATCAGAGCCTAACACAATGGGCGATGAGATCAGTTCTAGATTACACGATGAGATCATTTTCAGATTTCGAGAAGAATGTACCATTATGAGAACCATAATGGACTCTAAAATTGCAGCAATGGAACAACGCCTCAGTGAAATAATTTTCCAAGTCATCCAAGAACAGTTGTCAAGATTCGGAGTTGGTTCCACAAAACCAGCAACCCATAGATCAACAAATTCTTCTACTACATGCAATACACCACTTATTCAACTAGCCGATAAGAATCATCCAACAAGTGGTAATTCACATTCGATAATACCAAGTTATGCAAAGATGAATTTTCCTACTTTTAATGGTATCAACAACCCATTAATTTGGGCACATCGTTGTAAACAATTTCTTGAGTGATTTGGACCACATGAAAATGGCAACTTGATGGGTGAATTAGTCAAGCTTCATAAAATTAATAGAGGTGAAATTTATCAATGTCAACTTCAAGCTAGGGCTGGAAATGGATAATTGAGCTTGAGGACAAGCTCTTTCAACGTAAGAGGGGGTAATGTTAGGGATGCGTCGAAAGTCATTAATTTAAGTATTTAATTATTTATTTAGTAACTTTATTTATTATTCTAGAATAGGTTTATATTACATAGTTTTATAAGGATTAGGTTATGTTATAGTTATTAGTTTGGAATAGGATTTAGGTCTCATACTTTCATAAGAATTAGATTTCCTATTTATGTAATAAGACTCCAATTTAAAGGAGCTTTTGATGAATAAATCAGTAAGACATAATTCAACAAAAATCAAGAGATCAGAGTTCTCTCTTCTAATGAATTTTAAGATTTCAGCCTCCCTATTATGAGCTGATTTATATATCGCCCTGTGAATCGGTCCTTCCCTAAAGATTCATAACAGCCTCTTTTCGGCCACTTTTTTGAAAAGTATCGTTGAGCATCATTCTAGCAAAATCTGCAATCATTGTGCAAAATTTCGATGACTACGTATATTGAAAAATGCAACACCACCACAAGGTTCAGCAACCTCCAGCAACTAATTCGCAACCAGTGTCGCCGGTTGCAGATCCCTCATGTGCCCTCATGCGCAGCTAGATCTAGGGTTCCAATGACCAAAAAATACCATGCAGTGGTGCATAGGCATGTTCCATATCATCTCATCTCTTTATTTAGAGATGATACATATACTATGTACGATATTTCGAGCACTTTCCAAAGACTGATACACTGATAGATTTGACTTTCCCCAGTGTATTCTCTCTGTTTCAAATTCACTTTTGCCAAAGGGATACACAAATATTTTGACTGGATTACAATGATACTTTCTCTCCAATGGCTAAAGTAGCATTAGTCTGCATTTTTCTACCCACGTTTGTCATTCGTTATTGACCTCTTCATCGGTTGGACATTAAGAATATTTTTCTCCCTGGTGAACTTGAGGATGGAGTCTATATGGAGCAAACACCTAATTTTGTTGCTCAAGGAAAGTCTAATTATTTTGTATGTCGATTACGCCGGTTACTCTGTGGTCTAAAACAACCTTCTCGAGCTTGGTTGTGAAGTTCACCATAATAATTCAGGAGATTTAACATGACTTATAGTGGACTTGATCACTCTATGTTTTATTGACATTTTGCACCAAATCTGTACGTTTATTTGATGGTTTATGTTGACAATATTGTTCTCACAGCAATGGTCAAGATGGTATCATTAAGTTGAAACAATCTCTTTCAATATTTCAAACAGAAGTATTTTCTTGGTATTGAGGTTGCTCAATACAGATCAAGTATTGTTATTCCGCAACACAAGTATGCCTTAGACATTCTGAGGAGACAAGAATGAGGATGTAGAACCATTGACACCCATATGAATTCGAGTCTTAAACTCCTACTAGGATAGACGGAGGTCCTAGAAGTTATAGACAACTAATAGGAAAGTTGCATTATCTCACAATGACTAGACCTAAAATCTCTTTTACAATGAGTGTTATGACTTACCTCTGTATTAGTCATTGGGAAGAAAATGTTCGAATTCTATGATATATAGCTCCACATAAAACACTACTCTTCGAGATCGAGGCCATAAGAATATCATTGAATATACATACGTTGATTGGGTAAAATCACCCTCTGACAGACATTTGACATTTGTATATTGTGTTTCAGTAGGAGGTAATTTGGTGTGAGTAAGAAAAGTGTAGTTGCTCAATCTAGTGCAGAATCGGAATATCGAGTAATAATTGTAGCAACCTGTAAGCTAGTATGTATTTTAAACAATTGTTGAGAGAATCAAAATTTGGAGAATTGATCAAATGGAACGTGTGTGATAACCAAGTGACCCTTCATATCACATCGAATTCGGTATTTCATGAGAGAACCAAGCACATTGAGATTGACTGACACTTTGTTAGAGGAAAGGTACCCTCGAGAGATATTGTTATAAAATTTGTGAAGTCGAGTGATCAACTTACACATATCTTCACCAAGTCCCTCACTAGTCCTCATATTAGTTACATCTGTAACAAGTTCGATACATATGACTTGTATCCACCAATTTGAGGGGGAGTGTTAGAATTAGAATAGAAATAAAAATACCATATAAAATCCTATTTTCATATGATTGTAATGTTGTGTCTATAGATAGGGCTTAGTGTAATAATGTAGATACACAATTCAATAATATTTTTCCCTAAATTTCTCACAGCTTTCAAGTGTTGCATGATTGGGGTGCCTAATAAAGTTAATATAGGAAGAAACGAAACAAACATCATTGAACATTTTGTACTGAAATATGTGTATTTTTTATTAGGAACTTCCACTAATAATTTTGTTGTTCTCCTTATATTGGCCTCCACCGCTCACTGGCAACAGGTAAACCATCTTTGCTTTCTAGTCTTCTAGCAATGTGTCTATGTAGACAAAAATTGAAGTAGTTTTGCTCTCCATTCTTGAATACTCCAATGACTTTCAGAAGTTGTTCTACGTTGAAGGCCAAATTTTACTTCGATGGAATCTAATAGCGCAAATAAGGAAAAAAGGAATATAATCTTTTAAGCAGTTGAAAAAAAGGATGTGCCTGACAACCAAACAAGGTCATAGACTTCTGCACATACTTCCTTCATACACTTCTTGGAATATCTCAAAGTTTGTATATTGCTGCAAATAATTTCAGAAAAGTTAACATGATATGCACAACCATTCAGGAACATTATTCAGAAATTCATCTAAAAGGCTGAGGTGGTATTTTCGTAACAAATACTTCTATCAGCCTACACAAGTACCCCAAAAGTAGCAGAGAAAAAGGAAAAGGTGTGCGGCCAAGGTGCTCCCCAGTAAGGTAGAGACATGGTGATAAATACCAGTTAGTATTATGCTACATGAGGATGAGTTCCCTAATTTTCATCATTCAGTGAGCAATCTTTCTATTTCAGCTTTTGGTGTTACTTTAAGTTCTCTCAGTTACAAATCAGTTTTAAGCCATTTGTTTTAGCTTATAGAAAAGGTGCTTTTTTGCCCCATTAAAAGCACTTTCTTAAAACTATTGAGTGGTTGGCCAAATGACCAAACTGCTTCTGGGGAGAAGCAGAAGCAGTTTTTCTGCTTTTGGAGAGAAGCTAAAATGCTGCTTCTAGAAAATGTGCTTGAGAAGAGAAAACCGGTTATGGAGAGAAACTAAACTGCTGCTTCTAGAAATTGCGCTTGAGGAGAGAAATGACAAAAGTATCTCTACAAAATTTGTATTTACAAAACTATTTCTCATTAATTAAACCCATTCTCCTATTACACTTGTCCATTTATGTAATTTGACACTCAAAAACGCTTTCTAAAAAGATTTGTCAAACACAAATTGTTAAAGAAAACCCTTTCCAAATGAGTTACCTGACATAAATTGCTTCTCTTCAAAAGCACTTATATGAAAACCTGTTTTTTAAAATATTATTAAAAGAACTTCTAAAAAGAGGCACAGTTTTGCAGCTTGGGCAAACAGGCTCTTAGAAGTCAAATTATGACTCATGCGTATGTTTCTTAATTCTAATTCATCATTGTTGAAGTGTAGGAAAGTGAGCTGCTCCGATCTACCTCCATAAGTTATAAAACAGTAATTGAGTAGTTGAGAAATATAAGATGATTTCTATGGTTTGGTAAACAGAAAGATGCAATTGCATTTGATGCTCTCGCAACCTCACCCTAGGGTTCATTAGAGGAAATATTAGTTCAGAGATTAGGAGATTGTATCTTCCCTCATTCTTTTCTACTTGCTTTGTGCACTTAGCATATTTCATCCCATCACATTCTGCCATTTAAGAGTCCCTTCACCTTACCCAATACTTAATATCAAAAATCAACTTCCATCCTTAGAACAAAGGATTTATGTTCTAGTTACTTCTCACAGATCAGAACAGTCTCAATTTGGCTACTGAGCTTTCTGCTATTCTCAACCCACAAAGGACTATTTTTCACCATTATATCAGCAACAAGAAAACCTCCAAATCAGCCATAAAATCTCATTCCCTCTACTGAATCTAGAAGAGTTATTGCATCTTATCATAGTAATATCTTGTATCTTGAACTATTTTATCACTTTCCCCTGTCCCAAACCAGCTAACATTTTTCTTCCAAGTGTTAAGACAAATTTGTCGACGACTTAATCTACTGACTATAATCTTTTTAAATATTGATAGAGAGAAGTTCACAACCTTTGTGTACAATAGACCCTTGTAGTCCGGTCCTTCCCTAGATCCACGCATAGCGAGAGCTTATTGCACTGGGCTGCCCTTCTTTTAGAAGTTCAATACTTCTCATGTGATTTCTAAGTTACTAAATAGTATTCTGAAAGACCAACAAATCCATATTTGATCACACCAAAATAGGTAAAGTTTCCCCTCAATAAAAATGGAAGCATTACTAAATTGGGAATAGAGAGAAAAAGACGTAACAGTAAAACATCTAGCATATTTAATTGAATAATCATACCACATCTGACATGTTGTGGCAACAAAACCTGAATATAAAGGAAACAATTTTTCTTTGTAAAAGAAGACAAACTGGATATGTCAAAAGTCGATTGATCAGTAATGGAAAGATAGGTGATAGAAAAAGCAATTTACAGTCTTTGGAAAGATAAGAGATTTTCATATACAGGGTTTCAGGCTCTTGTTTCTTTTAATCAGGACGCACTACAACAGTAGAATACAAAAATAGTAGCATTACCTCGAAAAGTACAGAAAGTATAATGAGATGCCTACTCATCCTTTTCCAACTATGAGATCGCTTAACTGTTCTGGCAATAACAGCAGCCTCCTCCTTGGAAATATGTTGCAATCTCTTCTCAAAGTCATCTTTGTGTGAACCAAATAGACTGTTCCACATTCTTGACAATAGTCCCTTTTTCTTTTTCTTTTTTGTCTTTGCTTCATTATCTGTAGATGTGACAGGTGCAGCGCCAGCAGTATCACCAAGATCTTTTTCAGACTCTGTAGCCATTTCCTACAAGTTAAAAATGAAAACCATGACCATGAAGGGAGGAGAGACGCAACGAGTGGGAGAAGATAGGCCAAATGATCCTTTAGTTTAGTGATATAATGACTTAATAGTGCACACAAAATTCATATTATAAAAGAAGGTACAAAAAATTATCAGAAGAGGTGTCAACATTTAAAGATGTGAACAAATGAACAAAACATTTATTAAAAAGTTCAATTCACATTCATAAACATAATTTCCTCAACAAGATTCAAAAAAAAAGGCAAAATAAAAAAGACCGAATTTATGTCTTTCACCCTACAAACTACAAAGTCATTGCAAGCCTTACAACCGCTGGAGAAGACTGAATAGTGTCTTTTTCTAATTAAGGTAACCAATTGTCTCTCCAATCTACTAATCCAGTAGTTTTAATACCACTATTAAAAGTTCAACTAACGATAATACTAGATAACAACAGATCTGTCTTAGTCAAGCAGTTAGCCATGTGTGTTACCAAAGTGACGTTGCATGTTCGGACCTATTAATGTGCAACTCTAGATCTTTTTATTTTCTTTTACCAAATGAGCCTTAAGAAAATGTATCGTTTTAAGATTCATTTGTTTTAAGAAAAAAATAGTAGCTTACAGAATGTGCATAGGAGGTTTGAATGTAAGAGCTCCATTAGGGGCAGAGCTACAACACCGAAGGGTGGCCAAATTAACACCCTTTTGAAAATTTTTCTGTATATTTTTGAATATATATTGATTGTTGAACATTCTTGACACAAAAGAGCGAGATAGCCTAGTGGCAAATGCTATGCGAATTTCATTTTGGTTAAAAAAGTTCAGCCATCCTGTCATAAAAGTATGAATACCTGATATTAGTGCCTTCTTGTGAAGATAGTATCATCTGATATTATATATAGATTTTTTGCAGATCATATATAACATTGATTTAATCACAAAACGCGCATCCATCCTTGGACAGTACAAACAAAAGTTAGATTATGCCTACTCCTTGTTTGTCTATGCACACCATTAAATTAGCTTTACCATTTAAAAGTACTACTATTGATAATGCGTCTATCATTTGCGCACTGCTTCATGACAATTATTCATTCCAAATGATGCATAATCCCAAATCATAACTTAACTTCACATAAAACGTCTTAATTAAACCACTATTAATCTACTCTAATCGTAAAATATCTCTTCTAAATTAATCCACTACAACAACTACCAGAGATCAACTAGCACTTCCAAAATTCAAAAGAGGAACTCATTGAAACAAACGTAAACAAGCAAATTAAATCAAAAGAGTGAAACGCATCGGAAAGGGTATATTACCTGGTTCCAGAGTCGATCGCCAAAACAGATTAATAATTGTAGAACTGTACTGTGTAAATGTTAAATTCGACAAGAGAAGGAGGAGGCGTCTGCACTGATATGCGTTTTCGGTGCCAACTGCCCAGCAATTAATCGTAGATCCCGACCTTTTCTTCTAAGAGAAAATGAATGAATTACAGAATAAGTGATGAGCACGATGGCTGAGTCGGCCTCTATTTTTCATTCTACAACGCATTACACCGGTCGAAAGGACGCCTCTATGCCTTGCCAATACTTTTCAACCTATTTCTTTCTTAATTTTTTTAATAGATCTATTTCATAGGCCTAGTATTTTTATTTTTTTATTTTATTATAATGAAAAAAAAGAGGATAAAATTACTCTAGTATTATTGATATATTGAATGATTTCACCATCAATTAGTTTTTAAATTTAAATTATCGTCACTTAATAAAAAATCGAAAGAGTCTTCTAATTTAGAGCTGCTTATCATTTCAATCCGATTTCATCAAAATATTTTTCTGAACCAAAAAGAAAAATTACTTGATATAATATATAAAATTTGATTTGCATCATTATATTTGATAAAAGGATTTACACTTTAATTCCAAACAAAATACTGAACGTAATTTTGGATCAAAGTTGATAAAATTAATGCTCCATTAATGTCAAAAGACAAGTATAAGGCAATTTGTTAATGATAAAAATACGAATGAAATTAAAAATACAGTGTAAATAAAAATAATAAAGCTTTTTTATTAACATGTATAGGAGTAAATTAAACTCTTATCACATGTTCTGATTAGATCGGTTGAGATGATTTTTCAGTTTATTAGTTACATTAAATTTTGAATACATGTAATATAGGTATACTTCATTTTAAGAAGTCGAATTTAAAAATTATTTAAGATATAAAATAAAAATATAAATCGATCACTAAAATGAAATGTAAATTAATGATATAATATCTTTTTGCTTACATGTTAAATCCGATATAACTAATTTAATAAAGTATAAAAAAGCTCTTAGAAGTTTCTCAATCATTGGTTAATAATTCATTTATAATTTGTTTCAATTTTTTATACGTCCCTTTTTAGTTTCAATGACGGTATATAACTCTTACTATATAATTAGTGTTGGAGGACAGAACATACAATTAGACAATTACTAATAAACTAAGAATTTCCAAAAAAAAAATAGAAAGTAAGTTTCGAAAAATCATAAAGGACATTGCAAAAGAAGAGTATTTATTTAAATTTAAAAAAAGTTGTTGTTTGAATTCAATGGAAGGTAGATTTGACATTTTTCCCTTGCAAAAGAATACCAGCAGAAAATTTACTGTGAAAAGATGGTTTAAATATCGTGGGTAGATATTTACAAAATCAAGTTATTTACTTCCTCAATCCCATTTTAAGAAAATCAAATTGTTAAAAAATGTTTTTAAATTTTTTTTTCTAAAAAAAATACATGCTTCACTCACTAGTTTGTCTAGACTCATTATATGAAATTAACGTTTTCAATTATTTAAAGTGTCTCAAAGTGATACAGTTTAAATTGATATTAATTGCAATTGAATAAATACAAATGTTTAGATGATCAAATTTATTTGTACGTTTGTTCAAGTAAATTAAAGTGTCATAGTAAATTAATATAAAGCGAAATAGATAAAATTCAAACTTTCATTATGTATTATAATTTTTTCAAAATCTATTATTTCAAATTAAACAAGGTCAAGTCTATAGAAATAATGTCATGTGTTAACCTGTTTCTAGCTATTTTTTGGTCAAAATTAATAACCTTTTATTTTTCTTATGATTGTTCTAGTTTTGTTCCTTTTGTAGTGAAGAATATCTAGACCTAACCTCACTTGCTCGTATTAAAATACATTGGCTACCTAGGAAAAATGCATTAACATTGATCAATGGTTTAAAGAAGAGTTTATGATTATTTAATCTCATTATCATGTGATATTGACCATCGATTAACAAACTTGGTTTAGACAAAACTTCTTAGAGAAAAGTACCAAAGTAGTCCTTAATGTATGGTTACTATTTTAGTATTCTTATTTTGGTCTTTAATTTTTTTATTTACTTAATTGAAATAGTTTCTAATGTCTAAGGTATTTATTTTTTTCCTTAATATATTTAACTATACTGAAATGGTCCTTAATGAATAACAAAAAGACAAGGTGTTCATTTTGGTTCTTTTACCCTAAACTAAATAGATTTATCAAAATTAAAAAAAAAAAGTGTTAAAATTATTTAACTGTGGACTCTACCTAACAAACAAAACTTACTATTATTATCTTCCTTGTAAACTCCAGATAAAAAACTCCATAAAATATAACATTATTAACTCCACTTTCGCTACTTAACAAATTGTACTTTTTTTTATTGCTTAAAACATAAATGGATATTAGATAAGTGAAATAATATTTTAGAAAAGAGAAACTAGAAAAATTTTGTTGGAGAAATTAGAGAAAATAGATGTTATATTTTATGAAGTTTTTTCTTTGAGGATACCTTAAAAAGATAACAATTGTGGATTTTGTTAATAGCGTGGGGTTCATTGTTAAATTTAACAATTTTTTTAATAAATTTGTGGTTTAGAATAAAAGATAACACTTTTTTTTATACATTAAGAATCATTTTAATCAAGTGAAATATTCTAAGAATCGAAATAAAACATTACTCATATATTATTATTTCAGTCATTTTCTCAAATCAATATATATATATATATATATATAAATTTGAGTCCAAAACCGTTGATGTGGCATCTCTATATGGTCTTCATTTGTTTTGTTTTTTTTGTCTTTTTTTTTGTTCTTTTCACTATAAAATTCAATCATATTTAATATTGTAATCGTATGAAATGAGTTACAAAATACCCATCTCTTGACATTTTCTACTTAAATAACATGTCTTTTCAATTCTCTTTTAACTATTTTTATGACTTATTTATCTATAAATATCAATCATCTATCGAGATGTTGCATGTTCATTTCCATTTTTTCAGTCTTTCTTTTTAGTAGTATAATCTTTTAATTTTATTTTCTTCATCTTTTTCTTCATCAATCATGCGTTAAGTAATCATAAAAGAAGACACAGAAAATATGATACCACGATATGATTTTCACTTTGATGAAGATCATCGGTGTATTCTTGAAAAATTCATCACATTATTTGGTACAAATTCAACAAAATAAAGAAAAAAATAATTATCCCATTCATCGTTGTTGTTGTTGAAGATGAAAATTAAAGGTATATTATCTATGGTACACTTTTTTAATATCTAGTTTCTTATACATAACAAAGCAAAGCAGTAGTGTTTTCCACTGCAATCAAAATCTCAATATTAAGTCACCAACCCTTGACATGAGGGTCAAGTCTTTGGTATCTTGGAAGCAATTATATATTACACACAAGAAGAGTACACTTTGTGTTAATTAATTAATCCCACATATACCTATAAGTAACTAGCTAAAATCTCTATCCTCCTCATTTCAATACCTTCATCCAAATTCTCACAAAATATCAACTCCAACACATTAAATTTCATAACTAATCAATCAATGGCTTCCAATTTCACACATTACATCATCATGATTATTGTGTTCCCAATATTCTGTTTTATTTTGTTATGCATGGCTTTGCTAGCGCTACGCTGCTACTTAAAGAAGAAGACGACAATGGTTGAAGAAATAGAAGTCAAACATGTTGATAAAAATATGAGAGTTAAGGAAAATATAGTTAAAGGGTCTCATGGAGAAGCGGAGGTATCAGTGGAGGGAGATTGTCATGTAGATGATGACATTGTCACGAAAAGGAAAGAGTTAAAAGCTAAAATTTCAGCAGAAACAACTCCTTCTGATCTTGAAGCTGGACATTCTTATTAACTTTTTCTAGTTTATGGTCACAACTAGCCATGTTGAAGATCATCAAATCATGATTCTGTTTAAAATAAAGAAAAAGAATGTGATAAATTTATAACCTTCAAATGTTTGATTTTCTTTGCTTTCCTATTCAATTTGTTCCTTGTATATGAATAACATCTACATCAATGATGATTTATCATGGCACAGCCTTTAAAAAAAAATTAATATAAGGCGCAAATTAATTAATATAACTCTACTACTAATCATTATTAAAATAGTTTGTACTATTTAGAAACGGTAAAAATAATTTTTTTCATATTAAAGTAGTCTTGTAACTTTAAAATAACTTCTTTTTGAGATAAGTAGTTATGTAATTATTAAGGACAGAATTGGAAAAAGGTGATATATTGTTTTTTGATTGTTTAATTGATAATTAATTTTGGACAAGTATTTTTAGTATACCTGAAAACAATAGTGGACGGAGGGAACACTAAGTAGCATTACATACACATATATATATATATATAATTTTTAAACAAGTTTAATACTTAGATTATTCGGAGTGTGAGTTTCAACCTGAACGATCATTCATTAGTTTGAGAAACACGTCTTTCTCTTTTGTTAAACTAATTTTAGGAAATAATTTTTAAAATTTGAATTGTTTAGAGGGAGATTTGACCAATGTCTATTGAAATTTATCATAGAGGGCTTAAATTTTAAAACTTCACATACCACAAACACGAAGATTTCAAAAAACAAAAAAACCCAAAAGGTTGAGAGTAACTCACTTACATTGAACATTTCAAAAAACCAAAAAAAAAAAAAAAAAAGAAAAAAGGTTGAGCTGTTGAAATTGAGAAAAAAAAATCTAACTCAATATACATCTTTTATTCACTATTATACACTATTTATACGATATCATATATTACATACGCACACAATCATGTAATCGCATTTATCTTTTTTCAGCCAATGTCATTCTTCTTCTCTTTTTTTTCATCAAACGGTTATCTTTCCGTCTAATATAAAAAATGTCTTATTTTTTTATTTTCCTTTATATTTATTAAAAACACATATAGTCGCGAGATGTATGTATCTGTCAAATTTTAAAATTAAGATACAAATTTTATTTATTTAAATTGATTTTTTTAACAGAATTCCTCAATTAGAGGAGTTATTGAGATCTGAGCAATTTTTACATATAACAACATAAAAATCATATTTGTATGTTATAGTTATAGTTTGTATAATTGTGTTCCATAACAAACTTTATTTTTGCTATGGAGCATCAGATTGTATAACTCGCTGGCAATGCTTCAGATTTGTATAATTTCGCCAGTAGGCTACTTGTATAAATTGATAATAGCTTGTCGTTTGTATAAATAGTTGACAGCCTCTCAATTTAAT